GCCCCGCTCCACTCCTGTCTCCCTGTTCACCTCACGACGCCTCTGCGCTCAGTGGTTTTAGGGCTGACCCATTTTACAGGTGAGCAAACCGGGACCCAGAGAGGTCTGTCCCTTAGACCATGAATAAACAAGACTGAAGAGAAGCGGTCTGTCGGGTGGAGGGGAGTCCTGCTCCGTCAGACCTGGGCGCAGAGGCAGCTTGTGACTCTGAGTGTGCATGTTGAGGGCGGCATATGCTTCTCTGGGAGCTGCCCCACCTCCCCGGGGCTGTGTGCCAGGCCGGCCATCTGCTCTGGAGCCGGGCCTCCCCCCCTGACAGTCACCTTCTCCTGGAACGACCGGCTCCCAGCGGGCTGCAGCCGGTGAAGAAGTCCAGGAAACAGACCTGCAGCCTGCTCTGTGCCTTGTCTGTGTGAGCAGCCCTGCGGGGTCTTCTGCAACCGTTTCTCCTGGGAGCGTGCGGGCCGGGGAGGCGGGAGCGCGTGGCCCTCCTGGGCTCCTGCTGAGGGTCTGGCCACGGGGGCTCCTGGGCAGACCCTGTCCCCTGCCTCCCGCTCTGACTGCGGGAGGTCAGACCAGGTCACTGCCTGGCTGGTTCCCCCACCTCTCAGGGCTGGCCCCTCCTCTGGGTGGTCCCCCCACCTCTCAGGGCTGGCCCCTCCTCTGGGTGGTCCCCCCACCTCTCAGGGCTGGCCCCTCCTCTGGGTGGGCCCCCCACCTCTCAGGACCGTTCCCCCATTCTTCCTGGCCTGGGGCGGGCAGGGCCCCGCGTAGGACGGCTCTCCTCCCCGTGGTGAGACTCTCGTTCTCTGCCTGCCTTCCAGTCTGCTCCCTGCAGTCCCGCCCCGTGGTCCCCGCTCTGTTCCGGGTGCTTCTCCTAACCTGCGCTGACGGCTGCGTTCTCTGCCAGGGCCTGTTTCCCCCGGGGACGGCGCTGGGCGTCCCTCTCCCTCCCTCGCATCGGTGTTTCTGGATAATCCCAGAGGAAGGACTGCGGTGCCCGCCGCCCTGGGAGTGCCCAGGGGCCCTGCCCAGGTGTCGTGCATGTGATGCCGACTCTGCGGGTTGTCCTGGCCTCACCCTCGCTCTCTGTCCTCAGCTTCCCGGCATCGCTGGTGTTTGCTTACTGGCCTCTTGGGTGCTGTTACCAGAGCTGAAATGGTGTCTTGTGAAACCCTCACCCAGCAGGGCTGCGGGCGGGCAGCAGGTGGGGGAGAACGTTCCAGGGGTCCGGGGCGGTGTGCCCTTTTCCCAGAGGACACAGGGTGCACACTCAGGTCGGGGACGGCTGCATGTGCGTGCGGGAACAGGGCAGGGGCCTGGGAGCGGGGGGACGGCCGGGCCTCAGGTGCGGTCCTCCGATGGACCGGTGAGCAGAGGCTCCTCCACGGCAGGTGCGGGGAGACGGGAGGGGCTGCCCGGGGAGGGGGTGCCCTGACGGGCAGGTGGGCGAAGAGGAGCCACAGCCTGGGCCGAAGGTCTGAGCCTGGGGGCTGCGGTGGGTGGAGGGATCCAGGCAGGGGGCTGGGGAGGGGGGTCATGTAGTCCGTCCTTCCCGGGCTCCTGCTGTGCGCCGGCATCTAACTCAGCTGAGCGCATCCTCGGAGAGGAGACCCACAGACCCACGAGGCTTCTGCCCTGGAGGGACCTCCCAGTCGGGGGAGGAGGAACAGAGCTGACTGTGGGTGAGTCATTTGGATGGCGACGCGCGCTTAAGACCCTACCCCCGAAGCAGTCAGAAGAAGCCTGAGACCCAGGACATGGCGCAGCAGGGTCAGGAACGGGTGCCCGCCTGACCAGCTCTCGGGAGCCGACTGTGTGCACCCCTCCCCCACACCCTCTCCCCTGGTGTCATGTTAATAACTTGAAATCTGCTGTGTTGAGAGCATTTACACCATGGAAATTGGCAGACAGTACAAATCAGGTCCATCCACCATGGTTATTAAATGCTTAGCAGCACACCACCGTTCCTGTAACTGAGCGCTGAGAAGGGGAGCCTTCAGCTGGGGAGCGAGGGGACGAGGGTGTGACCGCAGGGCGGCAGCAGCTTCGTTGTGATGCAGCGGAAAGAGCAGAGGGCTCCGTGGCTTGGGTCCAGGGAACAGTGAATGTGGGAGCGCTCGGGGGGGGCTGATGCCTCAGGGTTGGGGTTCAGGCAAGAGCTGGATCCAGGAACCAAGGACACCCCCCCACACACACGGTGGCAGCAGCTCGGATTCAGACAAGGCCAGTCTGTGGAGAAGCCCGGCCTGGGCCGGGGGAGGTGAGCCTGCAGGTCTGCCCACCTGTGGGGAGAGAGCTGCGCTTCCCACGTGGGTCTGCTTGCCTCTGGAAGGGCGGCGACAGCATGCCCCAGAAGCCTCCTCAGTCCAGAGGAGCCTGTGGTTTCCGCAGCGCGTCCCCCCGGGAGTCGAGTGGCTCCGCAGTGGCTGCCGGTCTCCACGCCCGAAGGGCAGCCCTCCCGCCCCTGGAACCCCACACGGCTTCTGAGCAGCGTCGCTCCCGATGGAGGTACCTCTCCACCTTGGCCACCCGGTGGGACCTCTGGGCCCTCCGCGACCCGGGCCCGTTAACCGGAGGTGCGTCCAGGCTGGGACGCAGTCAGGCATGGTGGAAAGCTCCCCGGGTGACTCCCAGGGCGGAGAACGCCGGATGAGACCTCCGGCCTCAGAGCAGTGTTTTCCACACTGCCGGCTCCGGGGTGGGCCCTCTTAGCAGGCCGTTCCAGGCAGTGATGCTGAGCGCTGCTCCCAGGGATGTGAAATGAGCCCCTGAGGTCACTGTGCGCCCCGCGGGCCCCGACCGCAGGGAGAGGCTGGCTGTCGCGTGACCCGGCTTGTCCACCTGCATTAACTGTGGGCTGAATTAATCCAGCCGCTGCCGCACTCCCCAAGGACTGGAAAGTGCTTCGGCTGTTCCTTCTGGGAGCACAGCCCGTGGTGAAGCGGGAGGTGACGGCTGACACCGGAGGAGCCGAGACGATCCCGTCCGCCGACCCCGAGGGCCAGGGTCAGGGGGATCGGCCCAGACCGATGTCTGATCAAGTGGAGGGGGCTGGACGTTGTGTGCTGCAGTAAAAAGAGTGTGAAAGTGTCTCCTGCATTTTAGGAGAAGGGCGGGAAGGACAGATGACAAAGTCAAATGAGGTCAGTGCGCTGCTTCTGCGCTGCTCAGAGCATGGCGCACGTGGTCGCTCTGCCCCGCCGCATCCTGGCAGACGGGAGCTGCAGAGAGAACACAGGAGCTGGTTCACCCACCACACGCACACATGCCGCATGCTGCGGAGCCCCGCCAGGCTGGCACAGCTCTGGGTTCTGCTGGCAGCACGGTGGGCAAGGCTCCTGGCTTCTCGGGCTGACCTCCAAGGGGAGGAGAGAGCCGGGAACTGAGCCCGCAAGTGAATAGCAAAGCAGTGGTGAACTGAGGTGTGCCCAGAGGGCCCGGTGCAAACCGTGACGTGAGGTGGGGGCCCAGGGCAGGTCGGGAAGGCCCGAGGGACGGCGGCCACTGCGGGGAGGTCTGCCGTGAGGCGCCAGCGTGAGGAGCCGCCAGGGGAGACCTGGGGGAGAGTGCTGCGGGGAGACGGGACAAAGGCCCTGAGCCAGGATGAGCTGGGTGCCGCTGAGGAGACTGGAAGCCCCTTGTGAGGATGGCTGGGGAGCAGGGAGGTGCTGGAGGCCTGGAGAGACAGGGAGGGAGAAGGCGACTTGTCCTCTGAGCCCCGGGAGGCCCAGTGAGGTCCGGGAGCGGGAGGGTGGCGTGCTCCGATCTGCATTTTACCTGCTTGCTGTGCGACTTCTCTGGTTTTCAGTCTCGGCTGAAGAAGGTCACGTGTAGCATGATAACAAGGATCAGAAATCCTGTGTGTGGGCTTAAGGGAGGGACCAGCGCGTAGTAAATGCTCAGCAAGATGGCAGCTGCTGCCCCCCCACTTCCTTCCCTCATCCCCCTGCCCCTCCCCCACCCCATCCCCTTCCCACCCTCCCCCTCCTCTTTCTGGCTCCTGGCAGCCCCTGCCTTGCCTGGAGGGGGGTCTAGTTGCATAGAGTCCAGCATCTGAGCGCCCTCCTGCAACACCCTCCCCGCACTGGGTGGCTCTGGGGCCCTGTCTGTGTCCCCGGATGGGCTCATCACGTCTCAGACTTTCGGGGGGACTGGGCGCCCAGCCAGGCTCTGCCGCCAGTCCCGTGGCTTCCTCTGCACGGGGCTTGGGTGCAGGCTGCCCTGTTTACTTCGGAGCCTCACACCTTCCTCCTTCCTTCCTTCATTCCCATTCAAACCCCATTTGCAGCGTGCCCGGCACAGCTCAGAACTGTGCCAGGCACAGAGAAGCAGAGAGAGTCCATGTGTCCTCAGCGAGGCTGTGGGGGTGGACGTGCACGTGTGGAATGAAGCGGGGCACACAACACTGGGTCGGGGTGGGGGTGTCTGCGTACAAGTGACAGGCCGCCTCGTGTCCCCACAGCTCCACCAGCGCAGGGCCGGGAGCTGTGGCTTCAGGGCCCAAACGGCAGCCTTAGGTCTGGGGTCCCCCAGCCACGCGGCTCTCTTCTCTGGGGTCAGCTGTCCTCTGGGGCCGGCTCCCCTGGGCCCGGAACCTCGGCTGGGGTCCCCCGTCCACGCGGCTCTCCTCTCGGGGTCAGCTGTCCTCTGGGGCCGGCTCCCCTGGGCCCGGAACCTCGGCTGGGGTCCCCCGTCCACGCGGCTCTCCTCTATGGGGTCACCTGTCCTCTGGGGCCGGCTCCCCTGGGCCCGGAACCTCGGCTGGGGTCCCCCGTCCATGCGGTTCTCCTCTTGGGGTCAGCTGTCCTCTGGGGCCGGCTCCCCTGGGCCCAGAGACTCGGCTGGGGTCTCTCGGCCACTCACTAGGCCCTGACCACAGTGCCCCGCGTGCCTCCGACTGGGTGGCAGCCTCAGGGGCCCTGCCAGCCAGCAGCCTGGGCGGCCGCGAGCTCCCAGGACCCCGCCGGACCCCCTAACGGCTGTCTCTTGTCCCGCAGGGCACTGGCGTTCGTGTCCCACGGAGCCGGCGAGCACTGCGGCCGTTATGACGAGCTGGCGCAGATGCTGGTGGGGCTGGGCCTGCTGGTCTTCGCCCACGACCACGGTGAGTACCGGCCCGCTCCGGGGCCCCCAGTCTGCCTCACCCCACCCTGCTCCCTCCTCGGGCACTCCGCTCTGCTTCCCTCCCTGAGACCGGGGAAAGGCGTTCTCCACGGGCTCTTTCTAACTGAAAAACAGGTAGTTCTGTAAGCAAAACAAGTGTCTGGCCCGCAGTTTCTGTTACGGCCGGGACTGAATGCAGGCTGATTGGAAGTCTCCGCTGAAAAGCCCCAGACTCAGGATATATTTGTACGCGAGCTCGTCCCAGGCCACATCACCGTCTCTCACGTCTGTAAGCTCGTCCCAGGCCACGTCACCCTCTCTCACGTCTGTTAAGCGCCGTCTGTGAGAAACGGGCCTTGGTTTCCCCCCGAGGGACGGCGGGCGATGCTGCCCTCGGTGCAAGCCGGTTCACGGCCGGCGAGGGCCTCCAGGCGTGTCCAGGGCACTTCAGACCAGGGGGACAGTCAGGGTCTCGAGGGCCGTGTGGGCCTGAGAAACCCCCGACACGGGGCTCGTTCACACGCACACACAGCTGCACGCACACCCGTACACGCGCACGTCCGCAGGCCAGGTCTTTAATTCTTTCTTAGTAACGAAATTCACGGCAATCATCAAAGTGCAGCGTCTATTTCCCGAGTCTGTCTGTAGCTCCTTTGCTGGTCGGGTGGTGTTCTCCGTGTCTGGGACGGCCCCCAGCCGAGGTCTTTCTTTGCCTCAAGTGTTAAGATGGAAGAGTCCTCGTGACTGAACATGGTGATTTCTGCACCGCTGCAAAGTAGAAATCTGCCACTGTGGCCCAGATGCAGAAAACTTGCTTCTGTTCCGGCCGGTGTGGAACTGATGAGCTGCAGAGGGGGTGGGGGGCCGTGCCGGGCCTGAGGACCTGGTGACCAGGGGAAGCTTCGGGCGTTCTGTGTCTGAGGAACTGCAGTTTGGTGGAAATGATGAGCTGCAGAGGGGGTGGGGGCCGTGCCGGGCCCGGGGTCCTGGTGACCAGGGGAAGCTTCGGGCGTTCTGTGTATAAGGAACTGCAGTTTGGTTTGCTGCGGTTCAGTCGTGTCTGACTCTCTGTGACCCCATGGACCGCAGCACACCAGGCCTTCCTGTCCTTTTCTGTCTCCTGGAGCTTGCTCAAACTCAGGTCTGTCAAGTCGGTGATGCCATCCAACCATCTCATCCTCTGTCGTCCCCTTCTCCTCCGGCCTTCAATCTCTCCCAGCATCAGGGTCTTTTCAGCTCTTCACATCAGGTGGCCAAAGTATTGGAGTTTCAGCTTCAGCATCAGTCCTTCCAGTGAATATTCAGGTTCAGTTTCCTTTAGGATGAACCGGTTGGATCTCCTTTTGAGTTGCGGTGCTGGAGAAGACTCTTGAGAGTCCCTTGGACGGCGACTTGGTTATCAAGAGCCGTTTTCCCGCCAGATGCACGCGAGGGCCCTGGTCCTTAGAACTGAGATTATTGACCACGGCCTTGCTCGCTGTGGTCGCCGTGTGGTCTTGTGCTTTGCAGACATTCCCAGTGATCTCTGTGAGGCTGTTTGAGAGGTAACATTCAAGGATTAGCCTGAATTTCACGGCGGGACTGTCATTATTTACTCTGGTACTTTCCACATTGTTAGGCCCGTGGTGGGAATGACTTTCTTTCTATCACATTTGTCTCCGGTAACGTTTGTAACAAGGAGCTGAACAACACGGGGGCGTTCTGAAAGCAAAGAGTGTTTGCGTCAAACAAACACGAAACACCTTCAGGAATTTCAAGATAGTCTGGTTTCATCCTGGTGTCAACCACCCTCTCTCAGCTGCCCTTGGCCAGACCCGTAGGAGTGGGCAACTCTGTCATACCTTTGTGTGTGTGTGATCCTGGAATGCTGAAAAACAATTGGAAGGGTTTTTTGGTTTTTTTTTTAGAGTAAAGAGAAAAAAGAAACAACCTGCCTTTTGATGTTACCATGTGACATCTAAAACTGAGGCCTGACTCTCGGTGACTTCTAAATATAGGTTGGCGACGGATGCTGGCGCCGGATGCTGGCGACGGATGCTGGCGCTCACCTCGCTTGGTTGAGCGGTTTCTTGCAGTAACTTGTGGGCGATCTCTCTGGCGAGTACCTGACGGCGGTGCTTTTACTCAAGACGTGGAGCAGGGGGTCCTGAGAGTGGCCGAGGCTCCCTCTTCGGAAGGAGCGGGGAGCAGGGGGTCCTGAGAGTGGCCGAGGCTCCCTCCTCGGAAGGAGCGGGGTGCAGGGGGGGTCCTGAGAGTGGCCGAGGCTCCCTCCTCGGAAGGAGCGGGGAGCTGGGTTCCTGAGAGTGGCCGAGGCTCCCTCTTCGGAAGGAGCGGGGAGCAGGGGGTCCTGAGAGTGGCCGAGGCTCCCTCCGAGGGAGAAGCGGGGAGCAGGGGGTCCTGAGAGTGGCCGAGGCTCCCTCTTCGGAAGGAGCGGGGAGCAGGGGGTCCTGAGAGTGGCCGAGGCTCCCTCCGAGGGAGGAGCGGGATGCAGGGGGGTCCTGTGCTGGCTGAGGAAGTGGGTGCTGGTGGTTAGCGCCCGGAGAAATAAGTTCTCGTGGAGAGGCAGGGGCGGGGGTCCTGGAGGGGCCGGAGCCCAGGCCTCTGGTGCCTGCTTTCTCTCTCCACGCTGCTGCCCCGTTCACACCAGGCGTGACCCCTGTGGAGAGGGGCTTCGTTCTTCCCCGCTTAGCTGTTAGATATAAGCAGGCCTCTGTGGGGAAAGTATCAGAGCATTGATGTGGCCAAGTGCAGGGAGAGAAAACCCTGCCCGAGGGCCCAGGGCCTGGCGGACGTCACCTCCCTGTCTCCAGGGTCTATAGTCGTTTGTCACCCCTCTGCCCTGGGGACCTGCCCCCCCAACCCCTCTCCGACCTGACGCAGACACACCCGGGCCCAGCCACCTGGACTGCGATCCAGCTGTGGACCTCGGACGCCCAGCCATTCCCAGCCTCAGTTTTCTCATCTGCCAAATGGGCAGGTGGTGCGCTGACAGAGTGAGAACAGGCATGTGCAGGGCCAGCAGAGGGTGGTGGCGCCTCTTCTTCACTGTGCCAGCGGCAAGGCCCCCTCCAGCCCCCTTGCGGAGCAGCAGGTGCACCTGGACGGGGGACGTCGAGGCCAGGAGCAGGGGTGCTGTGTCCTTGGGTTCCCTTTCCGGCCGCAGAGGCTCCAGGGGAGACTGGCTGAAGGATAGACAATGCTTTCTCGAAGCGAACAGACCTACCAAGGGTCGTTTCAAGGCTCTTTCCTGTGACACCATCCATAGAAACACAGCTTTCTGCGAATCCTATGCTGACCCGATTTTAGGTTAAGTCTCGTTGCTCAGCTGAGCAACGGGGTTTCCTTGTTCAGACGGAAACCTGGAAACATGGGCTGGATGGTCTGGCCGCGTCTCCCCACGCCCGGTGGCCTGCGGACACAGTTGCTCAGCTAGCGTCTCGCTTAACTGTTTTGTTTGACCTTAGAATTTTACAGGCGACCTCATGGACACAGAGGACTTTGCCAGAAATGAGCACTTTATCCCTGCTGTTCATTAAGTGCCAGCTGCGTGCCGGGCTCTGGCTGGGGCCCTTGTCACGCATTATCTCCAAGCCTCGTAACACTTGAGTCCATGCCGATTCAGAGGTGAGGGTCGGAGGCCCTCATCCACAGGGCGAATGAACGGGCGTCAGACCCCTGATCTTGGTAGATTATCTCAAACGAGGGGTTGTTTTTCTCCCAGGACAAGCAGAGCCCGAGGTGGGTTCAGGACACCGCCGGGCTGTCGGGCCCGAGGCTGCATCTGCAGCTTTGATCAGCTGTTCTTAGCACGTGGCTTTCATGCCGATGGGTGCCGGCTCCAGCCTGTGGTCTCGCAGGAAGGAGATGCAGAAAGCGGTGGAGAGGCCGGGCTGGGCTCCTGCCGGGAAAGCAGACCTGTCTCAGCGCTCCCGCCGAGCTCCACCACACTGCGTGCAGGGCCGGCACCAGTTGACTGCGTCCAGCGGTGGGGGGCAGGACGTCCAGCTTGTTCGCTGCGTGTTTGCTGATCCCGAGCAAACCAGGCTCTGTTAGCAGGGAGGACACAGCGTGGACACTCCAAGCACCCTCTCCGCTGCCGGCCACACCCCAGGCTCATTATTTAAGGGAGCTTTTCTCAACCGTTTACACCTTGTGTGTTTTCTGAGCCACGTTCAGCTCTCCATGTGACCTCTCTCTCGCCCGTCCCCGTCGGCTTTCCGAAGCTCCGGCGTGGAGGATGATGTCAGGGTCATCAGCGCACTGCGTTCTGATGCGGTGAATGTTCGCGATCAGGTGGACGTGCCTGGTCATGCGTTGGCCTTGGGTCAGGTGCTGTGCGAGGGGGAACGCGTGGACACGGGCCCTGCCCGATGTATGCAGCCCCCATGAAGAGCCCAGCCTTGTCAGGGTTCTCACTATCCCTGGAGGAAACTCTCCCTTCTGCTGACGGCAGCAAGCTCCTGGCAGGTGGAGACGGTCGTCCCGCCCTTGGTCCCAGCCTCCTCCTTGCTGAGCAGAGTGTGGAGGCATCAGCAGGGTTTGTGGAATGAAAGGAGGAGTGCATGGCCCAGAGTGGATAAGAGCAGAGACGCTGTGAACGTCAGCAAACGCCCGCGTGCGAGTCTCCGTGTCCACAGGGTGGGGAGGACCCCACGGCGGGGCCTGGACTCTGGGCTCTGGGCTCTGGCGGCCGAGGCTGGGGCAGAGGACCCCCGAGGCCCGTAACTCAGGTGCTGCAGGTGAGCTCGGACTCTTGCAAGTACACAGCCTCCCAGCGCCAGGGGCCAGCCGGATGCTGGGTTTTCTGGGATGAGTAGGAGCTTGAGAGGAGAGCAAGGGTGTGGAGCCGGCGCCAGTCTCTGAGAGTCGTGGTTCGCACTGGGCTCCCCCCAAAACACCGGGGAGTCTTTGCCAGGGTCCCTCGTTCCACGGAGACTGATGTCTTGGGTGTGGCCGGGCGTGTCGGGACCCTTGAGCCCTCTGGGGTGAGTCTGATGAGCA